GAAGGGGCAGGGGAGTAGGAAGGGGTAGTTGGGGAGGGGGGATGGGAAGCTGGGTTTGGGGAGGGCATGGCTTGACCCACTGGGGTCGTTGACAGGTGTGATGTAGCAGGGGCAGGGGAATCGTTGGGGAGGTGCAAATGTGGAAGGGACAGGGGGGTTTTGGGGGGCTGAGGCAGGGGGGAGGTATAGGAGGGCTGAGTTGGGGAGGATGCGACCTGGGAGGTGACCTGGGATGTGACCTGGGAGGTGAGACTACCTGAGAGGCTAGTTCGGTGTCGTTGTTGCCATCTATTCTTGTGGGCTATTTGCTCATCTTTCGTCATAAACCTCTCTATAAACACATTGTAATGGGTTTCACTTCCTCTGAGTAAATGCTTGTTCCTCATTATGTACTCCACAGCCTCCTCATTGGAGAATTGCACCAGAACAGGTCTATTCTTGGTACAATTGTAAGGTCCAACCCGGCGGCTGATATCCACCTCGTGTTCTGCCATTCCTGCTCAAATACATCTCAATATCTCGTGCAATTCGTATTTTTCCGTTTCTGTGTGTGTTAGTGATTGTGCGCATGCATTGTGTGTTGGTGAGTGTGCGCATGCACTCGTGTGTGTTTGTGCGTGGCGGACACCACTCGTGTCTAACAACGGGAGATTACAGCGCTCCGAGCCAAGGTGTTTAATAAACAATAAATCTAGAATAAGGACTCGCCACTCTTGTTTACCTGCGGCGGGGGGTCTGAGCGCTGCCTTCAGGTGATGCGTGATGTGCTGTTGTGGTGGTGGTGGTGGTTGGTGTGTTGTGGTGGTGGTTGGTGTGTTGTGTCTGGTGTGTTGTGGTGGTGGTTGATGTGTTGTATGGTGTGTTGTGATGGTGTTTGATGTATTGTCTGATGTGTTGTGGTGGTGTTTGAAGTATTGTCAGATGGTATCTGTAGTGTAGTGTTGCCTTGTGTTGTTTTTATCGGTGTTGTGTGGGTGTTGTGGTGGGTTGTGGGTGGCTGGTTGTACTCTTGTTGTTCTTCACTACTTTATTATAGCAATACCAGTCATCTTGAGTGACTACTTCTTATGTTGCACGCGATGTCTTAAGACTCTCTCCTTGCTTGTTGCTTTGATGTCTTCAAAGCAACAAGAGTGTCAGGGTGATGTCTTCACTCTGATGCTCCTTGTTACCTACACTGCTGGACAGTGAATAAAAATATTTGCTTTCTGTTTGGTAGGCCTACATGCCTCCCGTTTTTCATGTTATGGTAACGAACGTTATAAATGTAGCCTACTATAAAAGTAACGGCTCACAAACATGTACGTTTTCTATGCATCAGGCGCGAGAGGTTTGGTGGGTTACTTGGGTTCACACGTTTCTGGTTAGGTTAGGAGGCTGGATTTTTTACGGAGTGGCAGGTCATGAAGAATGTTATTTGTTCAGTTCTGTGGCTCAGGGGCCCTCTTGTGTCACGGGGGCCCTCTTATGTCACGGGGGCCCCTCTTGTGTCACGGGGTCCTCTTGTGTCACGGGGGGCCTCTTGTGTCACGGGGGGCCTCTTGTGTCACGGGGGGCCTCTTGTGTCACGGGGGGCCTCTTGTGTCACGGGGGGCCTCTTGTGTCACGGGGGGCCTCTTGTGTCACGGGGGGCCTCTTGTGTCACGGGGGGCCCTCTTGTGTCACGGGGGCCCTCTTGTGTCACGGGGGGCCTCTTGTGTCACGGGAGCCCTCTTGTGTCACGGGGGGCCTCTTGTGTCACGGGAGCCCTCTTGTGTCACGGGGGGCCTCTTGTGTCACGGGGGGCCTCTTGTGTCACGGGGGCCCTCTTGTGTCACGGGGGCCCTCTTGTGTCACGGGGGCCCTCTTGTGTCACGGGGGCCCTCTTGTGTCACGGGGGCCCTCTTGTGTCACGGGGGCCCTCTTGTGTCACGGGGGCCCTCTTGTCTCAGTGCATACGGTTTGGGATCAGTTTTTTGGGAGATCTTTGCTTCTAGGCAGACGGGAGATGGACAGGTGCTCGACGGTCAGACGGATCGAGGACAGTTCTAAGGACAGACGCGTCCAGGACAGAATCAGTGTGAGATTTCAATGGTTTCAGATTTAGCTACTCAGGACGACGTGTCCATGTAGCACGGGCTATGGTGAGCCCGTAATTGAGTTTGGTTATACATGATAACCTTGCCACGGAGGTCCTCTTGTGTTTATAAAGCAAGTGAACGTGTCCTGGTGTTCCTTCAGGTTAATGTCTTGTCACCAGTCGCTTACCTCCGCTCTTTTCTGACTTCTTTGTAATATATAAGGGCATGTGGGGGGGGGGGGTGTATGTGGTTTTTATTATTATTATTTTCTACCACAGACATGGGCACACATTTACAATGCTAAGCAGCACATATACATTTTTCTTCTGACCTCCATGGACAGGGTGAGAGATCTGTTAAACATATAGTTCAGGGGTTTATTGAACAAGTTCAATGTGTATGTGTGGGGGGGGGCTATGTATGTGCAGGTGGCTGTGTATGTGTGGGGGGAGGGGTTATGTATGTGCAGGTGGCTGTGTATGTGTGTGGGGAGGGGTTATGTATATGTGGGTGGCTGTGTGTGTGGGGAGGGGTTATGTATATGTGGGTGGCTGTGTATGTGTGAGGGGGAGGCGTTATGTATCTGTAGTGAGTCGTGTGTGTTTGTGTAGATGGGTGGATATGTTTGTGGCAAGGGGGGGAGGGGTGGATCTGCGTGTCGGGGGAAAGTGTGAGAGAGAATGAGTGAGAATTTGATTAATTTCACGTAGTGTTCGGTGGTTGTTCTCACGGCATGGGCTGCGAGGAGCCGCCGAAGTGTTCCCTGTTACAAAGAATATACTGTAACACGCGCTGAGGTTCAGTAACAGCTTTACCTGAAGATTTAGCTTTTGTGATATTTTAAAGTATTACAGTTATTCATAATATTGCAATTGCATCTGAGATTATGGCTAAAATATTGAACATTCTCCGTTATCAAAGGAATAGTCTTTTGTCAGCGAGTCCTTTCTTTTAAATATTGAGTGGAGAGGAGAGATGTGCGTTGGGTGCCTTTGTACTTACCTGTCGTGGCCGACGGGGAAGTGAGGTCTAGATGGTTATCTTGAGATGATTTCGGGGCTTTAGTGTCCCCGCGGCCCGGTCCTCGACCAGGCCTCCACCCCCCAGGAAGCAGCCCGTGACAGCTGACTAACACCCAGGTACCTATTTTACTGCTAGGTAACAGGGGCATAGGGTGAAAGAAACTCTGCCCATTGTTTCTCGCCGGCGCCTGGGATCGAACCCAGGACCACAGGATCACAAGTCCAGCGTGCTGTCCGCTCGGCCGACCGGCTCCCCACAGATGCCCCGCCTTGCTGGCCTTGTTGTATCTATTACTGTAGATTTATCTATTCTGACGTTCAAAATCTTTGTCGAATCTGGCCTTAAAGTTGTGGAAGAAGGTGCAACAGATTCTTTCAGTACCTTCCACCTGTTGAACACTCTTATTACGTTTTCGGCTCACTTGCGTATCTAGATTCCATTTGTGTCCTCTCGGGACACAAATGGACACGGGAGCCGGTCGGCCGAGCGGACAGCACGCTGGACTTGTGATCCTGTGGTCCTGGGTTCGATCCCAGGCGCCGGCGAGAAACAATGGGCAGGGTTTCTTTCACCCTATGCCCCTGTTACCTAGCAGTAAAATAGGTACCTGGGTGTTAGTCAGCTGTCACGGACTGCTTCCTGGGGGTGGAGGCCTGGTCGAGGACCGGGCCGCGGGGACACTGAAAAGCCCCGAAATCATCTCAAGATAACCTCTCGTCCCGGTTTATCTCTGAAGCTGTCGTTGTCCGCCTTATAAGTTCCCCACAATATGTTGTAGCTGTGTTTCTTCTGTCCTCGTGAGTGGTGGGAGCTTCTTCCCTTAATCTAACCTTATAGCTTAACCTTCTTATTAGCTCCAACACTAATCTTGTTACAAACATCTGTTCTTTTTCCATTTTTGGTTTTAAACCTCAGAAGGTCCGGATTCCAGGCCAGTGCTGCATATTCCAATGTTACTCAAGCTAAGGCTGTGTAGATTGGTCTGAAAGAGCAAAAATTTAGTTTTTGCAACAATGTTCTAATGTTTGCCATAGTCCCATATGCTGCCTCTGGTGGCAGATAATGGAACTGTATCCATTTGCAGGCGATGAGTCACAATAACGTGGCTGAAGTATGTTGACCAGACCACACACTAGAAGTTGAAGGGACGACGACGTTTCGGTCCGTCCTGGACCATTCTCAAGTCGATAGAATGGACCATTCTCAAGTAAATCGACTTGAGAATGGACAGAAAGAGACGGAGAGAATGGAGAATGGAGACGGACCGAAACGTCGTCGTCCCTTCAACTTCTAGTGTGTGGTCTGGTCAACTGTATCCATTCCCTAATCTCCCTCTCTTTGAGATTCCTGTTCTTATCTTTCCCTTATTGTGTATATACCTCGTGTTCTTCTTCATCTCTTTCCCGTCGTCATTACCTGACACTTGTTGGGAATGAATTCTAGCAACTATTTATTTTCTCTTGTAGTTTGTCCAGGTGCTTACGTGATTTTCATCAGTGTCCTTGGTGATCACTTTGCTCATTAGGTTCCGTCGTCTGCATACTTAGGGGGGGTAGAAATAGCCTAAGCTACTCTATCCCTTTGAGATGTATTTTTTCTTGTCTCGATAAACATACTTGAACTTGTCTGCATACATTATCATGTACGAGTTCACTCCCTCAGTTAAGTCATTTACATAAATTAAGAGCAATTGGATTCTAGAGGGAATTCTGCCTTGAGGGACTCCACTTGTTACATTTCTCCAGCTCGAAACTTCTTGTGTGTGTGTGTATGACCCTCTGTCCTGCGTGGCACTGAATACTAGCATTATCCTCACTTTAATAAGGCTTAATTGAAATCCTCAGATTAGGCAAAATTGTAATGAATTTTGTCAATAAAGATGTTAATAATATCTGACTGTGACTGTTTTCTTTCCAGGTAATCCTCTTACCCAGTTCAGTGTCTTCCCAGTTATCCAGTCGGCTTCTCCATCTTGTGCACCAGTCTTTTCTGAGGTACAGTATCAAATGTTTTTTGACTCTTTAGGAAAACAGTTTTGTTAGAGTTCTCACCGTTCTCGAAAACGCTGGACATGTGATACAATGTAACCGAGTTTGGAGAAAATTTGTGAACGAACGTATTAGTCCGTTAGTCATTCCTGAAACCTGTGACTTCAAGAAATGTATTCAGTGTCATCGCCATTTGAAGGTAAAGTTGACCCTCAGGAGAAAGCGGTAAGCTAGTATATCATTTAGAAAGGATGTGAGGACCAGGAACGGGGATGTGAGGACCAGGAACGGGGATGTGAGGACCAGGAACGGGGATGTGAGGACGAGGAACGGGGATGTGAGGCAGGAGTGAATGAACTGTGCCCAACAATTTGCACCATGGCAAGTTGAAGGCCTTGCTGCCAGAAGCGAGGGCGCCGCTGTCCCGACTCCATGACCCCAGCTGAGCAATTGTTGTTCGTTGTTTTAGATTCAGCTACTGGGAACAAAAGTTGCAAGTAGCACAGGCTATGGTGAGCCCGTTGTGAACTTACCTGGCTTCCCATTCAATAACATAATGTTTAAGTGATCTTTTAACAGTTTTTAAAACCTGGTCTTCTGCACAATCAACTATGTAATCATTTCATTGAATTTGGTATATTGGAAGACATACTATGAATCATTCCTAAATTTGCTTTTTCACCCTATTATTATTTTTTGTAACACCATCTCTCACGAATCGACACCTGTAGTGTTTGTCAGTGAACAATAGAAACCTTTATTTAATTTGGTTGAAAATCATAGTTGATCACTTGGGAAACCACTTACCAGTTTCATAAGTGATTTAATAATTGCCTGAGTGAATGAGATAGGTCTATGACGTGAGCAGGTCACTCGTGTCTGAACTAAAGGTAAATTTCGTTTTTAAGAGGATTGTAAATAATGTAAATGTAAATAATGTAAATTTACAATGTAACATTGTAAATATTGTATTGTAGGCACTTACGGCCGGATATGTTAATGGTTCTCGTGCAGTGAGCTAATTGCTCTAGGACCGGAGACGTTTGAGTGTGTCAAGTGGGCATTAATTTAGAGTCAAGCGTAATTGTATACCAGCATTAATAGGTACAGGAGCTTGTGCTTGGGACTACAGTCGGAGGGTTTATCCTACCATATACACTCATCATCAGCTACTGGGAATGGAAGGCGCGCTGCCGAGTAATGCCACCTGGTGACGGGTGCGCGCCAGGCGGGAGGGTCGCGGGCAGGCCCAGTACGGGGGTGGTGTTGTGTTCATCTACTTCACTTTCTCTCTCTCTTTGCTATCTTATTCACTCTTGTGTTGATGATATCCTCAAAATGCTTCCGGAGTCTGCCAGTGCAGACTGCTTATCACATGCCTCTGTATGACTAACCATCCTGTGTGATGGGTATTTTATAGCATCACCTAGTTAGCTTTTTTGACACACTGTACTCCCCTTCCTATAGTCTAGGGTAACTGCACTAATGCAGATGTACCTAATGTATTTATAAAAAAAAAATTCACTCTCTCCTCCAGTTTCAGCCACAAGCAAGACGTTACAAAATTACCATTAAAAATTTGTGGTATTTGAAAACTTAAAACAATCGGGTAATTAAATGTCAGCCTCGTCCATTAGCCAATTAATATTTTTATATAAGGATTATTTGCTAAATACATAAAACATGTATCACTTTTTTACTAATATTAATGGCACGATATCTATATTTAATACTTTTTTTTACGGTAATCATCAGCAGTGTCTGTAGAGCAAAGTAATATTGAGATAGTGATTGGATAATTTTTTATAATTATCAGGGGAAGGCGTCAAGCCATTACGACTTCATAGCACTTGGAAGGAGTCAGGATAAGGATTTGGGGCGGAACGAGGGGGCAGGAATGGTGCATAGTTATGGAGAGTGACGTTACAGTTGGGTTCAGCATTTTCTGTTTTTTTTTTTTTCTGTAGTGACTTGATTTGGTGTTGGACCTTAGACATGTCAGTCTCTGGAAGGTTAATAATGCCTCCACAATATTATACTGACCAAGCATCAAGTATACTCACCAACAAGTATACTCTAGGCTTGAACATAGTTTAGGACTGTCGTAAACTGTCGGTGTATTTACACGGATTGGGCGATTGTTGGTTGCCTTGTCGGGTGGTTGTTTGTCACTGCAGGGTGACTGTTTTCCAGTCTCAGTATGGGAGACTTGCGTGCCGCCACTAAGGAGGAAGGACTCGGCTGGGCTGACATTTACCTGTCGGGTGGATATTGGCGTCGTCAGCAACACTGTTTGCAGTTATGGGTGTGACAGTGGAAGATCTCGTCGGTCTACAGGTGGTTCGTGACGACAGAGTAGTTGTGAAGTTCGCCGCGAGTGGCTTGTTCTGGAGGTTTCTCGACCAGTATGAGGACAAGGTGGTGGGGCTTAGCAACGGTCTTGGCTCTGTGTCTGTGACGAATTTGAGTGTGGAGTACACATACGTGTTTATTAAGAATGCGCCGTTTGAAATGTCTGAGGATCTTCTCCGTCGGGCTCTTGCCAGGTATGTGTGGACTCTATTCGTGCCTGTAGATACACAACCGGGGACGTCAAGGGGCTCGGTAATGGTTACAGAACGGCTAAGATGGTTCTTCATGGGAATGTACCTTCTTCTCTCGCTCTTGCTGGCTTTACGGTCTGCTTCTCCTACTGTGGGCAGACTCGGACGTGTTTTAAATGTGGCCACGTTGGACAGTTGGCTGCTGCCTGCGACACTCGGGTGTATGATCGGGTAAATGTGTTTCATGAAGCGGATTTTCCTCCCTTGACCGAAGGGAAGGGAATTTTCAGGATAAAGCACTAAGTCATTTAGACTATATAGCACTTGGAAGGGGTCAGGATAAGGATTTTTGGGGATGGGACAGGGGAAAGGAATGGTGCCCAACCACTTAGACGGTCGGGGATTGAACGCAAACCTGCATGAAGCGAGATTGTCGCTCTACCGTCCAGACCAAGTGGTACCTTTGTGCTCCCTTGACCTAGCGTGAGGATGTCTCGGTTGTGGATGATACCTTGTGAGAAGACAGCCGCGGTGATGGGTGCCCCTTCAGTTAGTGCGGTTGGTGGTGTGGGTGTCGGGGTGGTGGGGGGTGCGGACGCGCCCCCGCCATCGGCTTCCTCACCTCCGCCGGCCCCGTCTCCAGCTCCTGTGTCGCCTGAAGGGTGTGGGCCTGTACCCCCTGTGGATGAGGCTGATGTTTTTCCGGAGCGTGTGTTGCTCGGTGACTTGCGGCCGGCCATAGACTCTATTGGGATGCCTCCTGCTAGGGCCGACAGTTCGGATGATCAGCGGCCTTTGTCCAAGCGTTCCCGGAGAACTAGGAGTGTGTCGCCCCCTCGTGGGTGGGCTGCAGAGTGTGAAGTTGTGGAGGACGATGTGATGGAGGGGCCTGTGGCGCCTACGACGCCTGCTGCTAGTGCCTCCCCTCCCAGGGAGGTTGCCCCCTAGTGGTCGTGACCTCGTGGTGGTCCTCACGAAAACTGTGCGCCGGGAGGCCTCTGATCCTGTGTCCGGTAGTAGGGGCCCTGGCAAATGTGCATTCCCTGTGGTTCCCCCTGGAGTGAAGAACCATGTGACTATCAGTACGGACCTCTGTGGCTACCCTTGTCCGTCCCCTCGTGCTGTACCCTTCCCTGTGGTATCGGCCAATGGAGTCCGGCTCGATGCGTCGCAGACTTTGGAACTTACTGTGTATTGTCGGGTGTATCGGGCGCCGTGGTGCCCCTATACTATCTGGGTGCTGAGGGTGCAGTGTTTTGTTTATGGGGTGCCGGAGCTGATGCCTCAGTCTTGTGTCGCCTGGTAGACCGCTGGCTGATGTTGTCAAGCTCGTTTGGGAGGCGTACTGTTTGCGGTTTCCGAAGAGGGAGTTTCCCGTTAAATATGCGTAGTTTTGTGCTTGCGTTACGTGCTCACGGAACGATTATAACTTATTGTATTGTCTGCAATGTTGTTGTTTTGTTTGCCTAGTTTAGGCCTTTGTGTACATTGTTTTGTTTTGTTCATACTGTAATGTGTTTTCCGTGTGCGTTAAACTGTTATCTTCTGTGTTGTGTTTCTAATGGTGTTCTGTGTGTTTGTGTTTTTTTTTTTTTTTTGCCGGGTTCTGCGTGTTCCGGTATTTTTCATGTGTGTCTGGGTTGTGGTTCCTGTGTGTTCCGGTCGAACGATCGCGTGTTTCTGTACTGTGTGTGTCGGGTGTACCGTCGGTTGTGTGAATTTTGCTTGTTTCATGGGTTCTCATTTACGTTTTGCACTGAAAATTGTCCACTGTGTTTTTATTGTGTTCACGTTTGTTCAGCTTTGGTGTATCATCTGTATTGTATTTGTTCTTTGTTGCTTGCAGGTCACTTGGTGTGTGTTGTTGGGTGGTGTGTGCTGGTGTAAGGGTTTTCTTTTGGCGCTTCGGTGCCTTAATGTTGTCATGCTTTCCTTGTCATGTATTTGCTTTATAAAAAAAAAAAAGTGTATTTACACTGAGAAGCGGGATACACCTTGATGAACACGTCCCTGATCAAGAAACTCGGTACGTGGGGAACACGTAATGACGCGTGGAATAATATGTAAAGGAAACATTTCCTTTCCTGCACGTGGAGCCAGACATATAAAGCGTCTTAAAATAAAGCGATGGTATCATCTTTACGGGTTTACACTATCAAATTTTGTCACTTTTGGCCTTCGAAGAAAGGAGAAACACTGGAGCTAAAATAGTTCCCGGTTATGACAATTCAATTTCTTTATTATGCACCCCATACCCATCCCGTGGGCGGTGGTGTAAAGGATTACAGAGACACATAATCGATTCAGGAACTGAACCCTCTAGTTCGTTTAGCTAAGCAAATAAAAAATTTTCACGCTAGTTACAAAATTATTAATGTTATATATACATGTACACATTCTCATACATACATGTACATATATACGTATACATATATACATACATATGGTTATGACACCTGTGTA